GGATTCTTCAGAGGAGGGATTCTTCATCAGCCTACCAGCATACCAACAATTTAACAGAACTTTACTGAATATTATTCTACATAACAGAATAATGAACAGTGAATATGTACAAGGACAATTTATTCTCTGCCTCACAGTTCAACAATTAACAACTTTGCAAGTCTCATTGAAAGTAGGACATTTCTATCCACAAAACATGACCTATTGGAATCCAAAAACTGGCTTGGGAAACATTACTATATGCATTTGTATGATGTACCAGTAATGGTTGTAAGAATGTTCTAAGATATGTTCTCTGCAGTAGTTAGTGGGCGTCTGCTCACTTTACAAAGGTTCAGTATCCATTGTATATGTATTACTGCCTATTTAAAGTGGACCTGATCTAAAAAAAAAAATCAAGATCTTTTATGTTAAAGAGAACATCAAGAGAGGTTAATTGTGCCTAAGCAGTACCCTGAAAATATAAAGTTTTGTCTGGAATTTCTCCTGAAAATCTGTAGTGTACTACCGGATATGTGAGTACGCTTAGGCACTCCTGTTCCTACCCAACTAGCTGGATATCTGCTGCATGAGAGGCACTGTCGCATATCACTACTACGAGATTTGCAGTGAACATTGGTCCTGTCACTACTGTGCATCTTGATGGAGAGGAATCTGTACTGCATGCATCTCCCTGCTCCATTGGGGGGCAGCTCTGACAAAACTCTACCTCTATCAAATACATTTTTAGGACTTTATAGGCACAACACTGAATGTCAAAACAATGATACAATCTTAATTAATGCACAATTAAAAATTGCCTAAAATCACATTTAAAGAAAAACATAGTAGCATCCTGCACCCTTATGTCAGTTATGGTGGTGGCCCCACAGTGTGGTAAAAGTGCATGCTATACAAGTTAGTGGTATAGATGTAATTGTCCTGGGGTTGCCACCAATCATTCACATAGAGCTCTCCACATTTCCTCCGGAGCAGAAGGTGCAAAGACTGGACGGCTACAAGGAACGTCAGTGATAAGAGATCCCAAAGATGGTATGCCACAAGAGCCAGCCAGGCTCCCCCAACCGAAGGGATTGAGTTCAACTGTACATTTGAAAAGAGGTGATGCCTCAGTCCTAGTGTACAAAGCCTTTAAAGAAGGTATTTTAGTGTATTCATTCAACAATCGCTATAAATTCACTGAATATGATGTAAAGATCATCAGAAACATGTTAATTGCACTTAAAAAATAGCAAACTGGGGATCCATATACACAGGCATCCATAGTTCAAGGGTACACACTCACATTTACTCCTCCGTACACCTGTGCAGCATAGGTAACACCAAGGTCCCTGAGCTGAGTCCACGTGTATAGAGTGTACTTTTACCACAGTGTAAGGCCACCACCATAACTGACATAAAGGTGCAGGATGTTATGGGTTTTTTTAAAATGTGATTTTAATCAATTTTTAATTGCGCATTAATAAAAAAAAATTTTTTTTTTTTATGATATTCAGTATTGTGCCTATAAAGTTCATGAGCTGCAGTCCAACGTTTGTTTTTTTCATTTGAACTGATTTAGGGATGGGGCACTTTGGTATCTGCTAGTGTAACGTTGAATCGTTTTTTTTTTCCCACCCTCAGCTGTTTTGTTCCCATAAATTGAATCAATTGGATTTTACAGAAAGTCAAAAATCCTGTTCATCCTAATCATTCATTAAAGCCTAATTCCATGTTTTAGTACACTTTAGTTTGTCTGAACCAAAACTAGTCCAAATGAATGGTTTCCTTCAAAAACACATGCAGTGGCCGTCTGTAGCCTCAGGTCCAATTCGGGGTGAATGCCCATTTTTGCTATGGGATCAGTAAATACATTTAAGTAGAAACTCTGAAATCTCTCTTCTTTTCCAGGAACAGCAGCAATGACAACATGGGAGAGGAGCTGGCCCAGGGCAGCAGGGTCTGCTAATTATTGCAGGAACATTGGCAGAAACAGCATAACGTGGGAAAGAGGTAGAGTTTAAAAGTCTATTTTGTAGCCACTGGGTATTACTTCCCTCACTCATACGCCCAATATGATTTGGGTCCAGATGGTTTCAAAGGCTAACAGATGTCCCCTGACTTTGGAGGGAGGGGGCATCTTTTCATTGTTAGGAGGAGTTGCTTGCAGGTTTAGAAGGTTATGCTTAGAGGCCTGGGATGAACAAAAGGAACTCTGCTTATTTCCAGAGGTGGGAGACTTGCCAGCTTGAGCATAGCTTTCTTTTGCAGGAGTAAAAGGGTACACTTTCCTCCAGTGACACCTTTAGGACAGATGTCTAGGGAAGCATCAAAAGGCATGTTTTCCATTATAGGGAATATGCTAAAAGCATTTTTGCACTGTTCGAATTGTTGCAAAACTAAAGGATTAGTTAAAATTGTGTCAGGAGTCTTAGGCATACCCTTGGTCCTAAACCCAAAGGTCATGCAAATAGCCATGACAGAAATGGCACGTTGAAAAGTTGGGCCAGGGTCAGTCTTTCATCAGCGGGGTATGTAAACACCATAATGTCCTCAACAGGAATTTTTAGGGTTAAGACACAAAATGGCCAGGTCCACAGCACGAAGGGTCCAATTCTTGACAAATGCCTACTTGCCTAAATGCCTAGCAATACTCTTGGCAGGGGAAAATACTTTGACAGGAGATTACCAGTCACCATATAAGTAGCAAATGCACTTGGAAGGTTTTCACTGATTGGGAACTTTTAGCAGATACCAGATTGGTAATATTAGAGAATTCAGATGCAGGCAGCTCCAGTTCTAAATATTACATGTGCTACATCAATAAAAACCATGATGGCATCCTTAAGACTATGTATTCTATCAGCAGACTGAACTTCCTCAGGCACCAGATCATCAAAGAGAAATAGGTTACACTCATCATCATCCTCACAGCTGATGTGTAGAAGCAGCTGTGGTTATAGCAGGGACAGACTCTGGGGAAGAAGGTGTAGAAGTTTTCTTGCGGCCCTGCGTTCTGGGTCAGCAATTGTGGCAGTGACTTTTTTTTTACCAAACTCTGACAAAATCCACAGAAAATGTCTCCCTGGATAATGGCAGAGGAGGGAGCAAAGTCAGACGGAGCCAGGGTGGACCCTGAATATGTGGACTCAAGCGCCATGTTCAAAAGAGGAATGCTGCAAGCTACCCCAGAGATGTTAATGGATTTTGAGAGCCGGAAAGACCTGTAGGTCTGAAGCCCTTGTGCTTATGATCAACCATTCTTCTAGTATGGATATAGAGCTATGCCACCTGGGGTACTCACAAAAACCCAGCTGCCGAAGCAAGGAGAGGTTACATGATCTTCTGTGACCAAGTCACTGTAGGGTGCAGCAAGGAGGACTGACCATTGGATCCTTGTGAGGAGCCAGCGGTGCTTCAACTCAGGCCGAAGCATATGGCTTGGGTGCAGGCGCACTAACCTGGCACACACAACAAAAAAATAAAAAAAAAGGTTGCAGTCGTGTTTTTCAAAGTGAAGCTTCAGCACTACACTCCCAGGCGCCTGCAACACAGTAAAGACTGTAGCAGAGCAAGCCCCACAGAGAGCTTGTGACACAGAATTGTTGCAGCACAAGTGCTGCAAGCATTAACTCCTAATGGGATCACCTCAGAAAGCAGTGTACACCCACTCGGCTCCCTAGAAAAAAAGGGAGCAGCACTTAGCACAGCGGTGGTCATATGCGCTTGATATAACTCCTCCACTCCATCAATTTTATACCAAGAGAACAAAAAAGCAGAACTCCAATAGTGTATTACCGTTTATTAAAACTTCACACAAATATGCAGAAATGCACTTACATTAAAAACATTCAAACCAGCTTTGCTCAAGGTGCCGGGACTCTCCTGCATTCCACGGACTGGAAGTTGGCACCTGTAAGTGATGCAAAGTTTCGTCAGTGAAGCTAGTTTCGTCAGCATGACGTCATCAGGACCGCTCCTCCTGGAGGAGGAAGGAGATATGGGGACCCAGTAGATATACTGAGAGGAGATATGGAAGAGCTAGTTTCGTCAGCATGACGTCATCAGGACCGCTCTTCCTGGAGGAGGAAGGAGATATGGGGACCCAGGAGATATACTGAGAGGAGATATTGAAGAGCTAAAAGAAACGGTGGAAGTTATATCAAGTGCATATGACTCCACTGTAAAAAGGGAGTCTTGGGAATTCTGGTGAGTGCGGAATAATACAGGGGGGAGCACGAGTGTCACAAGGAGGAACGCAGCACCGATTTATCATTCTAAGAGCACTTTAAGTGGACTGCACAAAAGAGCACTTTTTTCAAGGAGTTGTATACTGAGATTACATAAACTGTGGATGTCACAAATATTTAGAATTGCACAGACTTTGAACAGGAACACATACTGTGTTTCAGTAGAGAGAGGTGTTTTATATTACATTGTACACCATTTGCACTATAACAGCACTTTTTTCTAGGATTTGCATATTGGGATTGCATATACTGTGGATGTCACAAATATTTATATAGTGTACAGAACACAGGGAGGTGTTCTATAGTGCTATAGATCAGTTACATTTATTTTGAGGAGGATGCACATGTAATGCACATATATATTTTAAGTTTGAAAACGATGCACTTATAAATGGAGGGAGGTGTTTTATAGCACTTTACAGCCCTAGCACTTTACCATTTAGAACTTATCCTAAAGTATTGAGTAGCGCCACACTAAAAGTTTGTAGTAAAAAAAAAAAATATATATATATATGCTTTTCAGAGGAGAAAAGATGTCCATTCCCTTAGAACACTAGCAAAAACTGAAGCATGATGGGAGTGTGAGGGGTATAATGCCTGACTGACTGTTTTTGTCAGGGTCTATTCTCTTACAGGCGAAAGTATAACCCATGCAACGCAGAATTACTTCAGACCCTGTGTCCCTTAACGAACGATTAAGAAATGAAGTTTAGGATTGATTTAACCTTTAAGTATGAATATACATAAACATTTCCATTTCCACGGCCTTACCTCTGTTTCTTTGTTCCCAGCTGTGTTATTCGGTATAATTCTGTGGTCTTTTTTTGAAAGAGAATCTTGCTCTAATGCAGAATTAATTGGGACTGGCTCCTCTTTTTGGTGATTTTGATCACTGAGCTCAGCTTCCTGTCTTTTAACTCGTAAAAGAGCCCCTCTTTTCAGTCTTGGCCCATGTGATTCTTCAGGACGATATTCTTCCTGGCTTAGAATATCTGGCATACGATGAAATTGTAAAGTCCAGGAGGTGGGTTCCTTGTCTAAGAAAACTAACAGAGAGTCTCTGGAGTCCATCTTACTTGGTTGACAGTGATGTGGAGTCCTACAGTCAGCAAGGATGCAGGTTTCTTTCAACAACCAGAACACATTGCATGAGTGACTCTGGTAGCATAAATCATTGCACGAGTGCACAGAGTGAGGGCCATTTGCCACCATAAGGAAATCACTATTTTGCTTAGTCCGTAGGCCAAAACCAAAGTGAATCCTTCCTTGCTGAGTCACAGAATTGGTTTGTGCAGCATCTTTGAAAGAAAAGAAAAAAACATTTGTTTTGATTTAAAAAAAGAAAAAAGAGAATTTTATATATTTTTTTAACATTTTGATTTGCAGTTGTAATAAAGAAATGTCTTGAATTTACATTAATGCCTTGCACCCTTTTGACAACACTATATAAAATACATATTCTACTCAATGACAATGCATCACCTGTTGTAATAGGATGGGATGTACATACAGTCATGGTCAAAAATATTGGCACCCCTGCATTTCTGTCAGATCATGCACCACTTCGCCCGGAAAATTGTTGCAATTACAAATGTTTAGACATTCTCATGTTTCTTTCTTTTGTTTGTATTGGTACGACACAAAAAAGTGGAGAAACAAAAAGCCAAATCTGGCACATTCCACACAAAACCCCAAAATAGGCTAGACGAAATTATTATACCTTCTCAAATTGTAATTTGTAATTAAACTCACCTGTATCAATTAACAGGTGCTAACTATATAGAAATCATACCAGTTAAAATGGTGAAAAAATTGACTCAACTTGTCATTTGTTTGTCTCTGTGTGCCGCATGAAGAAGAGAGAGCAGCAAAGAATTGTCTGAGGATTTGAGAACAAAAATAGTGGAAAAGCATGGACAAACTCAAGGTTACAAGTCCGTCTCCGGAGAGCTTAATGTTCTTGTGTCCTCTGTGCGCAACATTGTCAAGACGTTTACAGCCAATGGCACTGTAGCTAATCTCCCTGGTCATGGATGAAAGTTTCAATGCTGCTGCAATGGCAACAATGCGATCCCATAAACAAATGCATATGCGCAGCTGACACAATGAGGGACTGCGGCAAAAAGGGCCCTTTAAAAGCTCAAGGCTGTAACTATAAAAACCTTAAAGCCCAATTTTGCTAAAATCAAAAAGATCAAAATCAGTACAAAGGAACTTACAGTTAGTACAATGTGTTCCTTGTGCCGATTTCCCTTTTAAGAGAAATCTTCCTCCATCCTACCCCACCATAATCTACTGGTTTGGCGGGGGATTCCTACAACTAAAGGGCTGTTAGGAGAATTCATCAAAAATTCATCAAAAAAGCTTGACTTGACCCTGCCCCAAACATCCCCCTGCCCCTTCCTGCCAGATCCAACATTCATAGAAGCCATACTACAGCTTCTATTAATGACACAGGATCTATAAATGGAGGGAGCAGAGCTATCATCTGCCCATCACCTATTCGTATATCCTGTGTTGACGAGAGCTCCTAATAGCCTTTTAGTTGTATTAACCCCTGCTGGTCTAAAGCAGCCTATATATCATACAAGGTTCTTTCGTTCCACCAAGGGAGGAAGGAAAGAAAACTGCTGGATTCTCCCATCAACACAGTGCTGATAGGGGAATCCCATTAATGGATCGAATCTCAGCCAGTCCCTACTGAACTGGTTGCAATTTAAGCCATCTATGGTTGGCTTGAAAGTTTATGGTGGGGTTAGGACAGAGGCTGATTTCTCCTAAAAGCAGAAGATTCGACACAAACTAAGTTAAAGCTATGTCCCTTGTTCTGATTGTTATGTTTTTGATTTTAATTATTAATCTTAGGCTTTAAAAGGTAGAATTCAAGCCTAACACTAACTAGCAACTAGTCTTAAAAAAGTTGACAGAATATATGACAGAATAAGGGTCATTTGGAAAAGCAGCACTAAGTACAGGCCTGTTCTACTAAACATAGCTAGTGAGATGGAGGATTAGAAATTCCTCTCTTGTATCTCCATTGTACCTTCATGTTAATAGGTCAATTAACTTTTACAAAAAGATCCTTCATTTAGCGATTACTGACTGTCACATGCAGCCATAATTGTCTCATCTGTAACTGTACAGTTCCCACATGTAGACCGATATAGCCCTTTTTTTTTTCTCTTTTTACACTGGTGTCAATTTTTCAGGATTTTCAAATGTGGTAAAATGCAAGATCATGAACAATAAATTGTTTTCAAGATGACCTTTTAACACCAATGTGTTATATTGCAGTAAATTATTAAAAAGTCCTGCATTCAAGGACATGTGCAAGTCAGGCTGAATTTTCACATATTTAGTCAATTCATTAAAATACCTGATGCAACACATATCAACTTGTGTCAATGCCCAGCAACCGAACACACTTCTGGCGTGAACCTAGCCTGAATATTAGTAAGAAGTCACCAACTCCATTTTTGGCCTATATTTTTTTGAGCTCTGGCTAACCCTGTAGGCTGCAATGTTGACATCACTGGGGCTTTACTCAGCACCATCTCTCTGTCACTATATATCAGACTTGGCAGTCTACACATCAGAGAGGTCTGCCACTCCTCCCCCCTCCCCGGGGGTGGCTCTGACCTGATTACACTTCATATGCCAAGGATGGTAATGCGAGGTGGCAGGGAATGTGTGCCTAGAATTTCGGATGTTCTATGTGGCTGGAAAATGTTAACCCTCCAAAAGCTATATCAAATGATCAAGTAGAAATAACTAGGACATGTTTTACCCTTCTTTGGCTAAAGACTACTAAATATCTAAAACTAAACTGCATTCAAAACAGGATATGAGTTTATCACTTACACTGCTTGTCAGCAGGGTTATCATACAAAGCATTGTCGCTGCTAGCCAATGCATTGTTGTATCTTGTAATAAGGTAGTCAACCGTACCTTCGAAGGACATCCCTGTGTATGATAACATTTATTATTAAAAATGACAGACTGTCCTAGGCTAAGGAAACATAACTAAAAATGGTGTATTACCTTAATAGCAGTGTTGGCTTTACTGACTGCACTCACAGCAATTATAGGTATACCTGCAAATCTGGGGACAGCCATATTTGCTCAATACTTATTTGTCTCTTCTTTCTGCTGTGCAGCACTGCATAATGATTTTAATTTACTTCTCCTTATGCCAATGCAAGTCTAAAGGGACAATAAAGGATCAGATAACTGCATATGCCACGTTTGTGGTAAACATTTGTTCTTTGATCACAGAGGGGTGGGTCCTGTGACCCTCAATAGGACTTTAAGAAAAAAGGATTTTATGGTGAGCAGTAAAGTCCTATTTTCTTTCTCCCTCCACTGAAGTCCCTCACCTTTGGAAAGTCCAAACGCAATCCAACTGGATATCACCAAAGCAAACAGGAAGCATGGCACACCAAGAATCCCCCAATACCCAAAATGAATGGTTGTTTGGAGTCCAGAGTTTACAGAAATGTTACCAAACAGAACACACTTACTAAATAGCATGCTTTTGTGGAAGCCTCACTCTGGGTATTCCTTGAAGCAATAGACTGTAACACCCTATGAATGGACAATTTACTCAGACTCCCCCCTGAAGAAAGAGCATCACTACAGAATATTAACAACAATCCACTCATCTAAAGTTTGGGGTGCAATAAAATACTTAGAAGGCATGATGTCTACCGACCTTCCTCTCATGACACAATTGGCTGGGAGCCTTTAGATGCTGGGTCAGCTCACTTTGAGAAAGTCACATAACCTACTACATTAAGAACTCTTTAGATACCTACAAGTCAAACATTTAATTGCCCGAACAGTCCAGACTCTTGTCTATAAATTAAACCTGACACCAATTGAACGTGTAAAGATGAGCCTACTCCCCAAGTGTGAGTTTCTTGCTATACAACTTAATGCTTAGTAACCCTAGCCTTGCTCCCAAAATGTATACGCTATTGAAATAAACCACAGCGTGTTATTTAGATGATACGTAGTACCCAGTCATCTCACTTACATTGGCCCTGGCAGCTCACCATAGTCCGCTGTGTGATAAGACACCTAGCTAAAAGGTGGGAAGTCTCACTTTCATCATTCATTGTGTGCGTTGCTAGTAAAACAAAGTCAAGTCAGCGCTTACTGAGCTTCAAAGAGGGCAAATTGTTGGTGCCCACTTAGCTTGTACCTATGTGTCAATTTGTTTTCTGTGTCACGAGGTACAGTATAAAGGTTATGACGGCATTTACAGTTACCGGGAAGAAAGTTGTCTGATAAGCAGAAAGGTGGACATGGTCAATTGACCGAAAGAGACAAAAGAACTGCTGAAAAAGTGACTGCAGAGCGATTTAATGTTACATCACTTCCGCTTTCTACGCTAAACATGTCGACACATTCATACCTTCAAATCATGTAGTGTTTTCATAGTTTGTCTAACCCCTGTACATTGAGAGGACACGCAGGCCTCCACCCTGCACTTTCTTTAAGTTTAGTAATTAGATAAGTTACCAGATATCATCTCACTAGCCCACAGTCGTAAATACCTCAGCTGGAGCACTCAGGGAATACAAATTGCTTTGTTGCTCCTTGGGCATCAAGTCGAACCCATTAAGAGTCTGTGGTGTGTCATAAACGGTCTTCCCCAGGGCTAATGGGTATCAAAAAGCCATTCAGGCCTGGGGTGACCTTTCCAAAACCCCTGCCTCACTAACAATTTCCAAAAAATCTATACACAATACATAAAATCAGGTAGGACCAAGACACATTTATAGTATGTATATATTTGAATGGAGAAGATAATACAGAACAAATTGAGGTCATACATGACTAAGCTATAGTATACAGAAGGTGAGGTAGCAGTCTCCTACCTACCTGGGTGACAGGTCTATCCAAGAGACCCCGTGTTTAATATCTCTGGACACAAAATTCAATGCTGGACAATAACATACCTGTTTCCAGATTGCAACCTGCACATGTTTGAAGATATTAATATTGGCATAAAGCAGTTTAAGGAATGCAACGGTACAGTTGTAAAACACATTGACATCCCATGGCCACTACTCAGCTGCTCAATTGATCAGATTATTTCTGTCAACACCCTCCTCACCAACAAGAAAAGGGAGTGGGCCTTGTAGTTGACAGTTTTTGTTTAACATCAAACCAAGAAACAATGAGAGCCAATATACCACCTTGCTTCTCGATGGGAGTCTTCTGAACTAGGCCTTAATAAGTATTGTTAGTTTTTTTTAACTCTCTTTTGTTTTGCAGTTGCCTTATTGATTCTTTATTCTCTTTGTAATACCTTTTTCTGTAAATAGGTTATTTGCACCATTTTTTAACTTTTTATTATTAAACAATATTTTGAAAGGTGTTAAATTGTGTCTAAAGCCCTAACACAGAGTTCAAAAATGCCTGTCTCATAAGCAGCGAAACTACCTGGTTTAACCTCTGAATATAGCTGTCTGTGGGGACGGCATGTGTTACAGACATTTAATCTAAAATCATAATTGAGTTTACTAATCGTGTGTCAACGATTACTACTTTTTCAATAAAAAGTAGATGGTGGCAGTTTAAACAGTTAATTGTTTAGTTAACTAAACCCATTGACAATCACTCTCAGTCTGTTAGCACTTAGATTGTAGTCCTGCAAGCTGGAAAATCTTTGTGCAGGGTGAGGCTGAGAGTGTCATTGTTGCGTATCAGTGGCAGCGAGGTGTGAGATTGACCAGTAATTTGTCACAAGTCGGTGAGGAGCAGTTGTCTCACCCACGTTTGTCAAAGAGCCGGATAGCTGCAATCATGGAAACGAGCTCTAGCAGTAATGTAGAGAATAATCCTAAATCAAAGAAAAGTGAAGAGCAATGTTTTAAGTGATTGTAAAGGTCCCAATTTTTATTTTTTTTATTAAAATAACAAACATTTCATACTTACCTGCTATGTGCAATGGTTTTGCACAGAGCTGCCCCGATCCTCCTTTTCTCAGGTCTCCCACTGGCGCCCCTGGCCCCCCCCCCCTTACTGAGTGACCGCAGAGCAAGCTGCTTTCTCTGAGGACACTCGTGCGTGCTGACTCCTGAGTTGCCACTGTGTGTCTATGAGACACACAGAGCACAGCTCGGCCCTGCCTCCTCTTCACTGGCTGTGATGCATAGAATACATGAAGGTAAAAAAACCTTAAGGCTTTAGAACCAAGTTTAGTTTTTTTTTTTAATTTTGCGTTGACTTTCACCATGAAATATGTCCTCATTAAAAATGTATCATACTTTTTCTTTTGGAAAAAGGAAAACTATTGTTATAATATTTAAGTCTTAATAAATATTTAAGATTAAAAACTTAGGGCCCTTTTACACTGATGTACTTTTGATGCGTTCCCTTTGACTTACAATGGAAGGTGTCTTTTTGGTGCACTTTTGAAAACTGCATCAAGTTCACCATGCAGGATTTTTCAAAGAGCAGCACACCTGCAGTGTGAATGGCAACATAAGATGTAATGGGGAATGGTTTTCATGTGCTTTTGTCACCCTAAAAAAAGCGTGGCAAACGTGCACCAGTGTGAAAGAGGCGTTAGGTTACATTCAAATCTCTGCAATTTTTATGTGTTGCAGTAAGCTATATTTTGAACAAATTTTATAATATCACCATTCATCTCTATAGAAGTTTTGCTAAAAACCACAGCACAAGCACCAAGCAGGATTCTTGCATTAAAAACGTGGAAGTGCTACTGTACTTTTGAGACAAAATTGTGGTAGTCTGACATGGTTCTCACCAATGACATCCTGTTATCTCCTACCCTGCTCTGCAATGTATTTTAAATTGTATATTTTGTAAAATATATATTTGCAAGCACAAATAAACCTTTTTGAAAAGAAAAAAAAAAAGATAAAAATTCTAAATGCAGTGATTTCCTAATTTCAACTCTTACAGAAACCTTTTCCTGGAAATATAAGAGAATTACCTGTGCTGGGGAAAAGAACACTCAGGCATGTCAACGAGCAGAACAAGTGTAGTATAGCTGTACAGGTCACCCGCCTCCCTATGAGGCATTTCAATGTCCATAAAGAATCAAGGGACAACAGGCCTTTGAGATACTTCTCCATGTTTTTGTCGGAAGTCTTGTGTCTGAGACAGGAGAAACACAAAGAGACAAATCAGCCAAGATAATATGAAACCAGGTCATGAAAAGCTTGATTAATATTGCATTTCCATGTTACTGCCAACAGCTCCCTTTTCTGGCTTTTCAACATGACATATATAAATCCAAAAGTGGACATAGCAAGCCATATAACTGGCTAAACTGCAAAATAAAAACTAAGTTCCATGGGCATCAGTGAGTTAACTATTGCCTACTGAGAAACGTCACCTCTCTTGAGTCATTCGGGAAAGGAACAGCTGGTTATTATGGAGAGATTTCCCAGGTGAACATAGATCATGTAAAACACACACAACTCAAGTCTAACAGGATGGATGTACTTTTCTTCTTCTTCTTTCCAGATAAACATATAAACTACAAAAGCTACTGTCCTCGCCTTCCATGAAACACGACAGTGCAACACTATTTAAAACTTGAATAAAGGTTTTGAAATAATTTTTTTTGACTGATGAAGAACGGTACAAATGAAAAAAAAAATGGATTAGTATTAAAGATAAACAGGTATGGTACAAGTTTTAAACATTGCTCCAAAACTTTTTCTTAATCTGGCAGTCATGCCTGTTTAAACTAATTCCTCAAACTAAAATTAAAAGCACCCTGCAGAAGAAGATAAATACTTACCTTTCAGGAGAATAGTGTGTTAAATCTTTGATCGCTTGCAAAATTATGATTGCTACTGGTATCTGACACTTATGGAAATGACAGATATGGTCATCGTCTCCCATCCTCCCTTTTCTTGCAACAGGACACAGTAGTGACCTAGTAGCCAGCAGGAAAACTGCCCCACACTGGAGGACCAGGTATCTGTCATGCCTTGAAATGTCTGATATCAGAGCTGGCCTTAAAAACAGATCTACACAATACCTGAGCAACACAAAACAAAAACACTATTTAAATAATTTTTAGTTTTAAAGCAATCTCCCCCATCCATCCATGTCTCTATGCTTTATTTTGCTGAGAAATATTTGAAAAACACTCCCTAGTATTTCTGCCCATGGCCATTTTGAGTAAGGGCACATGATTCATGTAGCATTTACTTCCTAGAATTCATCTTCCCTTAGCTCAGGCATGCAGGCAGGAGAGTGTAATTAGCTAAAAAAGCCCATCTTCCCCTCCTGGGCAGTATGATAAGTAACTGAAAAAATTGATTAAAAAATAAATAAGGTTTAAAAACAAGTAAATATGATTGATTGAGTTACTCTGTTGGTAGCAATATCGCTCTACCTACCTATCTTGCTCACGTACTTAATTTCTTTTCTCTTTTTTTTTTTTTGATTGCCTTTTGGAATGAATATTACAGATGTGCCTTGTTTCTGCTGTACATTCTAATTGATGCTGTAATGCTGTTTTTGCAGTCTATTTCTTAAAAAATAAAAATGTTTGTAAACAAACAAAACGAAAAAAAAACAAGTAAACACAATATACCTTCCTATCTATTTACTAATACCAGCAGCATGAGTATTAGAAATAGTCATTGTTGATTGAAAGAGAGTGAAGTTCCACAATAACTTTGCATTGTGATGCAGCTGTAACACATGTAACCTGATCACCAACTGCATCTCATGGTACCTACCACTGGCCACTATATAACCACTGCATCCTGTTGTGACTTAGGGGTTGGCAAGAGACCAGGTATCTGACACACCCAAAATCACCAGATAGCAGCAGCATCCACAGTGTCTGAGAAGATAGCGGAAACTGATCACAGATAGAAGGGAGAAAGTCATAGCCAGCAGGGGCCAGTGAATTGTCAGGAAGACCAGATTGTATACATGATGGAGAGAGACAGCAGAATATTGAGGAGATCAGACAGAGAATGCACACAAAGTAAGGTATGAAATGCTATTGCTCCATTCTTTGGACAAAAATATTTCATACAAAATAATATATAACTCTGCTCCAGAGTGTATGCTAAAACAAAATAAAAAAAGCTGCCAACCCAATGTGACTAAAAAATCACTAACTTTGCCAAACGTCTATAGGGGGTATAATATGAAAGTGCGAACCTCGGAATATCTGAATGTGTTGCTATATTAGACTGCATTATACAATTCTATTACTCGTATAGCAGTATAATATAGCAACACAATCAGAGGTTAGCACTTTCATATAGCGCCCCCTATTGAGGTTTGGTAAAGAAATATTTCATACCCTTGCTCTATCTGCACCATCTACACACAGAAGGTGGAGAGGGCTTGGTGCAAACAGGAATTGAGCACATTAGTAAAATATCAGGTGACATTTCACTTGTGCATAGATAGTTTACTTACGACAGTGGCTGGTGATGACGTTTCTCTTTCCCTGGGTCCTATCTCTCAAGTATGACATAATAAAATCTGTGACCGGAAGGACCTTGTGAGAGAACACAAGGGCATGATTGAGACTTATAGAAGCCAGCCAACAACAAATGTCAGAAATAAGCGAGTTTTCATCGAAGGGCTCATGTACACTGCAGCTGATAAACTCACGTTTAGGAACTTTCCTGCGTTTTTTTCAGCAGCCCCTGAACTCTCCCTAATGTTTTCCTATGTGTCCATGTACACATCTTCGTTTACAGTGGTTTATAGGCTGTTGAGCTTACAGTCGTTTTTTTGAACACAGAAAACTTGCGTTCAGGAGTAGATATTATTATTATTATACAGTATTTATATAGCGCCAATAGGTATGCTCAGCGCTGTACAGTAGCAGGGGGGACAGAACATGAGACAAGACAGTAACAATACAATACACGAGGGGTTCGAGGGCCCTGCTCTTTCGAGCTTACAATCTAGGAGGGAGGGGAAGGTGGCACAGGAGGATACATATCAGTGTTTGAAACGCCAAACGCTTGTAAACGTGGCTAACCGCGTTTATAAGCTTTTGTGTTTGAAATTTTTTTTTAACTCTTCCAATTCCAGATGCTGTCCAGAACCTTTTTTCATTATGAAAATTGCATGCACGAAAAAAGCGTTTTCCCGGTACTCAAATGGACCTGGTACACCATACTTTGAGGTTTCGCATGAAAGAAAATATATTAGACACTGCTGCAATAATTTCTGCACAGAAATGAGCTGGAACACATCCAAACACCACAAAAAAAAAAGACAGCTAATCTCAACAAATACTGCTGTCTCTGCTTCTGCTCTCTCTATTTCTCTCAAAATGTCTGAAATAGTTAAATTTTTTACTGTTTTTCAGTGGGCATTTTGGAAGGTCTCCTGAGGTTATCTTTAAAAAATGCTTTAAACGCAAACACTCGTAAACGCACATAAACGCAAAAACGCAGCTAAACAGACATTTTTTAACCTACGTTTTTTAGCAGTCAGTTTCCATCGTTCAGAAGTGTCCCGTGTACATGAAGCCTAAGAGGCAGGGATCTCCAAACTATGGCCCTCCAGCTGTTGAAGTACTAAAGTCCCATCATGTGTATGCCTCTGGGAGACTTGCCTGTGGCTGTCAGAGTCTTGCAAGGCCTCATGGGACTTGCAGTTCATCCACACCAGGAGGGCCATAGTTTGGAGACCCCTGATCTATGGGGAAAGGTGCTTCCCTAGTATAGTGCCAGTTTGGGGAAGGGGGCTTCCAAGGGAATGTGTACAGGGCCACAGTAGGACAGGGAAGCTGATCCAATGGGGGAGATTAACTAAAACTGGAGAACTCAGAATCGAGTGCACCTCTGCATGGTAGTCAATCAGCTTCTAATTTCAGCTTGTCAATAAAACCTGGAAGCTGATTGGTTTCTCTGCAGAGCTGAACCAGATTTTCCATGCTCCAGTTTTAGTAAATCTCCCCCTTGTGTCCTGAGTAGAGATATTAGAATACAAAGTACTTAGGAGTACTGGTGAAGAGAAAGGCAGCAAACGCCATAGCACCTATTAAAAAACTAAAGAGTATGGGCTCTTTCACAGGAACGTTCTGATCGTGTCCGCCTGCCATTTTTCAGGAGGACCCGATCAGTACCTCGATTCTTCTCTATGGAGCGGCGGGTGTAAACAGACATGTGTCCGTTTACACCTGCCGACATCCAATCCGATCTGCCAAAAAGGGATGGATGGGGATCCAATTCCCCTTCCGTCTGTCGGTATTCATGAAACGCCCATTGAGGAGAGCAAGCAGTTCTCATATCTGCATCTGCAGACGGAGCAGACGCAGAGCTGTCATCCGCTTGCCCAGCGGGGATCAGTGGAGAGATCCCCCGCTGAGCAAGCGGATCCACTAGACAGGTCCGTCCCATGTGAAAGAGCCCTTACTACTTGAGTTGCAGTTTAAAACAAGTGGAGTTTTGAAGAATTGATTAAATTATTTTTCTGCTGCTTCTTTTTTCTCTCACTGTTACCATTTGTCCACCATTAATTTTGTGGTCAATCCTATTGGATTCTTTCATCAAGCGCCATATACTTTTCCAAGCTAATGATTTCTCCATCTGTAAGCAACCTTTTTGCATGCATCCTTTTACTACATATACAGGATCCTCAATCATAATGTGAGAGGAGCCTCCCAGAAAAATATTTATGCCATGGTGCTGTCAAATTTTCTAATCAAAAGATGCCAAAAAAAAAGCACACCTCTGGGACAATAAAATTATCCTGAGTCTGAGCAGCTGAGATAAAGGTCTCATCCAGAAATTAGATAGGTTATGGAATCCACAGATTAGCTGACATAAATCTACATCATGATGTGCCCCCTGCACAGCAGTTAAAGCAGAACTCCACCAAAACATTTACATTCAAGGCACTTTGTGAATGATAACTGTCAGTAGCTTGTGTTCTCAACCAAATTGTCAAGCCATCAAATGGCTGTGGCATAGGTGAAGTCATGTGCAGCACCATGGCAACTGCAGATCAAACAGAAACTAAGGTGGCAGCTTTCTTGGCTGTAAAAGATAGGAGGAGTTAGTTCCACTTGAAAGTGGTTGTAACCCCTTACATTTACCCAGTGAAGGGACAGGTGATACACAGGAGATGAAAC